TACTGCTGTTCAGGGGCTGTAGGATTCCTCCACGTCTCCATTTGCGGTCGATTTAGTTATACCCTTGGCTAGACTAACAAGTTAACTAACTGGTTATGACCACACAAAAAAAATCAATACGTGAGGGAGTAAAGCAGCTTGATTTGTAATATGTATAATGCGGTTTGGGTTGAACAGAGATTCCCCAGTGAATAGCAAATGCGATGTTATATTCCAGGTTTTTCCAATTGGCCAAATAAATAAAAATCAGTGTTTTGTGTTTTATTTATCTATTATTTATTTATGATGAAATCCTTTGGGATGGTGCTGTGTGCAAGGTATAAACGGTGAACAATGGCGTCAATAGGTGGCAGTAACGTATTTTAAAGTATAGAGAGCTGCCATTTAAACTAATAGATAAAGAAAAACCAGTGGGGTGGTGTTCAGCAGTCTTAGCTAAACTTGAACCATCACCTAGCGGTGAGTGGTTGTTTCAAGTTGTACATTATATTTTATATATTATTATTATTATTGTGGGAAAATTTCAATTACAGAAAATGTCTCAAAGTCACAGTATTTCCAAATGCATGCTAACAGTTTTGTGCATCTATGTAAAACTTTTTCCTGGTCTTACTTATAATAATAGTCAATAATAATAATTGAGTCTGTTATTTGTCCCACAATGGGAAAATTTACATTGTGAATCTTTGTTACCAACACAAGCTGGGGCACCATTGAGTACTGTACGTGGCTGCAACTCACAGGCACACAGGAGGCGCCATTAGCGATATGTGGTTCCTCTGGGACTAGAACCCAGGACTCTGCTCTATGCCCTATACGAAGGTACACTATGGAACCAACCTAATCAATAATATTTTATTGGTTATAATATTTTGCATTGTACAGTTAAATATGCAGTCAAAAACAGAATACATTTATTTTCTAAAAAAAAAGTGAAAATGAAAAAAATATGAAATTGGTATGATTAAATTGCTTAACTTTTCTAAAAAAAAGTGAAAATGAAAAAAATGAAATTGGTATGATTAAATTGCTTAATTTGGGCATTAAGCATCTTTGTATCATCTACAATGGGGGTTTTAAAAATAAAGATTGAAAAAACTAATTTTTGTTTGTTTTTAACTGAATGAAACAGCAGACATTGAGGAACAATTAAAGCTGACAATTGAACCAAAATGTGTAAAACTACACTGCCCATTTGATATTGAACAGAAAAATCCGGAAAATGAAATACCTGAAAAGGACTGACTGCTTGTTACATAAAAGCTGATGTTGATGCTACACCACTTGAAATAGTTGTTGCCTTTCACAGTATGATTTTTTTCACAACATTTTCTGTTCAACACATCAAGATACACTTCACTGCTTGCTGTACATTTGAAGTTATTCCTTTTCTGTGTCACTTCTTGACTGTGTTGAGCTGTCACGCTCAATTTGTCAGTTACAGTATGTCAATGCATCATCGTCCTACACACTGTGTGCTCACCGACTGGGAGAAGAGCTGTCCATCTTCTTTCCATACAGTGTCTGATGCATAAGCCTACTCTGTGCTATAAGTAGGACATCTATCAAGATAATGCTGCACCAAACAGCCCTAATGAGCAAGCTGAGGCAGTGACACTGTCTGTCTGCCAAATGAGACATAACAGACAACGCTCGCCTCTTGCAGATAAAGTGAGGCAAATGTTCAAAAAAGGAGTACAGTGCATTGCTTTTAACTAATCTTCCCTTTTCTATGTTCCTGTTTAACCCTGGCAGGAAACAAATGGAAGGCGATTACACACTCCCTGTGCATTCTTCCATTTTTCTCCCACTCTCACAACCGGTATGTGCATAAATGTAGACCTTAGGGAGATCAGGCTGAAATGGCTTCTGTGTGGTTTAAATGTTTTAGGCCAATTACTGCCCTTCCTGCTTGGAAAATCCTAATTCAATCTGTTCCAAATCAGTGCCTTCCAACCAAAGTTAGCCTGAAAAGAATAATAAAAAAGAATGGAACATATAGAGGAAACTGCAGTAATAGATGTAACAGAATGGAAAATATATGAAAGGAAATAGGTATATGAAAAAAATTCATTAAAATGTGCACCGCATGCATAACTTTAGGTTCACAGGCCTGGAACAATAAAAGCAGTTCATCAGAACTGGAAGCATATCTCTACCAACCTTTATTTCCCTCAGGCTGAGGCTCACCTCGCTGTCAGTGTTATAGTATACTGAATGTCTATACTCTTTTATACAGTTGTGGTAGGAAAAACACTGTAAATAAAAGCCTTAAATAACAATACAAAACTAACTTTGAAAAAGACATTGTGGACTTCACTTCGTGTGTCTCTTCTCCTCCTCCTTGTTGTTAAATGTTTGTGTGTCTCTTCTCCTTCTCCTCCTCCTTGTTGTTAAATGTTTTAAAAAAGTGAAGTTCTCCTCCCCCCTCTTCTTCATCTCCTCCTCCTTCATCTTCCTATAGTCCTTTAACTTCTGCTTGCCTTAATTTCCTAAAGGGAACTCCAAGGGATTAATAAAAATCTGTCTATGTATCTATCTACCCATCCATCCAGCCATCTTCTTTTTGTAGTAGTTCTTGTTCCCCTTCTTCTTCTTATGGTTATGCAAAGATGCAAAGTAATGAATATGAATTAATAACAACAGTTTTAATTAAATATACTTTACATACTTATGTAAAGTTGTGTTTTGTTTTTGTTTTTTTTGCTGACTCAAAAATCTCATTTTCGGTATGTTTAATTTTAATTCCCATAATTGCACTTGTCCTGACCTGCCCAGCGTGAATATGCTGGATGCATCTGTTCTCAAAGTCAATAATTAGCTAATGATGAGTGAACACTAAAACCGTCACCATGTTATGAGGTTATTAATTACCACCCGATTTTATCCTTCACTGTAAAGTTTCACTGCGTCATTACAGACAGATTGTCTCATGTCACTAAGGGCACACATTATAACCTTGGCCCTCATAACCACCAACCGTACCATCCCCCAGCTGACTAATAACAATTCTCGGGTATTACATTACTCAGTCTCTGAGAGCAGTTATGGTGATGGGCTAACAACGGCTGCTCCCTTTGGTGTCATCCCCTTGGCTTGTCTGATGGACGGTCGTCAGCGCCTTGCAGCAGATTAAAGTGACGTGTACTGGTTTAAAGCCTTCAAAGCGGAGGTTGCAGTGATGGTTCCTAGGTATCCATAGAAGTCAGGCAATCATCTATCTGCCAGTGTCAGAGTGGTGGCCATTATTTAAGTGGCTTGAAAAGGTCAGAAAGAAGGCCGGGATCTACAGTGGTAGCATTTGGGACAGCCATTACAGCCATTCCACCTGAGTGTGCATGCGGTCACTGACTGATTGATGTCACAGAGAGAATTCGAAAATGCTGCCGAGTGTAGCATATGCTTTAATGTATTGCCTGTATGTGTGCGTGTGTAGATATTTGTGCAACCTCTGGTCCGTGTGTGTGTCCGAGCGTGAGGAAGTTTTGATCCATCATGCGAGGTGGACCAGATAGAGTGTTTCATTCCAGGGCTTGGAGGAAGGGATTTGGAGAAGTCTGTACATCCATGGTCAGCTCATCCCATTCTCATAAGCCTTCTAGTATAACATTCATTTATAACAGATGAATGTCACACAGATCTGTCATTTCTGACCAAAGCAGTCGCAAAACAACAACAACAAAAAATAACACACCTTTGATCCTCCATCCTCCACACTCATAAAGAAATATAAAAATGCGTATGTGCGGTGAGAGGAGAGAAAAAGGGCAAGTAAGGGAAAAGGAATATTTTAAAATAAATAATATATTCAAAAGTGGAGCAAAGCATAAGGAAGCTTGTAAAATGTAGAAAAGTCTCTGGAGGAGTAATTAGCCATGTCTGGCATTAGTGAGTGCTTCTGTTTCCCCTCTAGCTCAAACCAGGACAGACTTAGGCAAAAGGAAGACACTGAGACATTTTCTGTCTGTCAGTCTGGACCACTCAAAGAAAACACTTTGACACAGTCAAAGTTGCCATGAGTTTGGGAATTGTCCAGTGAATTGTTTATTATTGTCACAAATAGAATATAAAAATAGAAAGGCATTTTTTTTTCACAAATTCCAGATTCTCGAGATTCATTGTCATATACCCTGTAACATTAATGAACTCATAAATGCAAAAATACATGTATGTATATGTATTTATATATGTATACATGTATGTATATACTGTATTTACATACAGTATAAATACATCTATTTGCAGTTGTAGTAAAATGTCATTATTTAGATTTTTTATAACATTGCTTCTTCCACAGAAGCTCACACATTAAAAATAGTGTCAAGGGGAGAACATGACTTTACATTCTAGTGCTGAAAGCAAATGCATCCACTCATGACTGTCACTTATACTGCCAGATGTCCCCAAAATTAGCTTTTGCACTTAACAGTTTGTCGTCATCACACGGTGATGCCAAGCATTTATATATACATCAAAGAGGGCAGAATGTCCTGAAACTCTCAGTCGAGTGTCTTTGTGAACCTGGGTGGTGAGATTTCTGTGCGGTGATTGTTTCTTTTTCTGAGTATATAGCACACCATGTCCAATTAGCTAATCATTCCTAATTAGGTTTTCTTTTTGGTTTTTGGTCTTGATCAAGCCCTCATCAGCAGCATCACTATTAAAAAACACTCTGCGCAGAAGCTTTGCTTATGTGCTGACCCAAGCAAGTTAACCTGGAGATTTATAAAGCTTTTGTGTAAAGGTCCCCATTTGTGAGCCATGCAGACAGGAAGGCAAATTAGTGTCTCAATAGATTTCCCTTTTCGTTTTGAATAAAGAGTGCTTGGAACGCAGCCCTGGCTTGAGTTGTGGGTACATTTTCTGAGTTCTTCCCCACACACAGGATCAGACGTTTGTGTCTTTGAAGACTTTCTGAGCCGTAGACAAACGATTTCCATCAGTTGGCACAGGTGGTGCATCCCGCAGGATTATCCACCCTTCAATGAAAAACCCACACTCAAAAGGGTTTTTGGTGTAGTGTTTTTATCTGACAGTGGCTTTGGGGAAAAACAACCACCAGGGGTGGATTGACCTAATTTATTGTTCTTTTATTTGCAATGGCAGGTCTCGCACCAGAGTGCAGTTGCTAATTAGTGGTGAATAGCAACACTTGTGGTTGTACACTGGTGGTGGCTGAACTTGAAGCCACTTGTCTGAGCAGCTACGGTTTGCCGTGCACAAACACTGTAGTTTGACTATGCCTGTGGTTCCCAAAATGGGGGGCATTTTCCACTAGGGGCACATGGCAGGTTTTTCACCATTTCTTTATTTGGGTCACTGCAGGTTCATTAAACTTATTTGTGATTGTATTACAGTGGGCAGGAGGTTGCAACGTTTCTAAATTATTGGGTTATGCTATCATGTGTTCAGCTCTATCTATTTAAACTAACATCAGCTTTAAGGTTTAACAAGGTCGGGTCATTTTGTCACACATTTTCTACACCGGAATTGTGACCTCCAAGAATATATTTTGTTATTCATTCTTACATTTAGCTTCTTTTTTATACTGCCCTCGCTTGTTTCTGGCAAGGAAACACAATGAGACAACTTCAACTGTAATTTTTAGAGGGTCGTTACCTCACTTGGTGCTCTCCCATAATTTTATTTCCATTGTTTCCCAATGCAAAAGCTTATTATAGAAATCTATACCACGCATCTTTGAACAGACTTAATGAGTCGGCACAACAGTGATTCTATTTTAACTGTGGAGAAAATAAATAGATGAAGCTGACTGCAGGCCGTACATGCTAATCACTAGAGACGTTAATTAAAAAGTGGGGAAAAATTAGTCAACGTATCTTTTGGTTATTATATTTATTTGAAATGAAATCCCATACGTTATTTGCTACGACAGCATTCGCTGCGCACAGTGCAATGTGAAACACGTGCAAAAAAGTTATTCAAATTGTACACTGTTTTGCTTTTCACAATTAAATCAATGAAAAAAAAGTCAAAGGGCGTTGGTTCAGACACCAAACACCACTGAGTTTAGGTGATAATTCCCATGGTCCTTATCATCTGTTGACATCCACAACTCAACACAGGGAGGGGTTACGTGGGTGGCATTATATCTCGGCACTTCACACATTTTTTTTTAAGCTACATCTTTCACGTTTCGTAGCTCCTCCAGTAGTTGTTTTGACATCCCACCATTGAGCTGTGAAGGAGATGTGAGCGTTTGCGGGCTCAGAGAATCATGGCCAGCCAACCAGCGATCATGGCCATGCCACCTATGGGAGCGGCCTTTCGTAGAGCAGGGTCCCCAGTCAGAGCTTGGTGATACAGGGAGCCACAGAACATCCCCATCCCTGCTATGAGGAGTGTGCCAGCCTGTATTGAAAAGAGAAAAGCGAGACATGACATTTACTAAACATATTTGGAGCAGGTGGTGCATTTGTACTCATTTTTAAACACGCCATTTAAAGAATTAAGTTTATTTTTGAAATAGCTTTGGGAATGAACTGCTATGGCCAACTATGAAGCCACATTACAATATGCCAATTTTCCATGTTTAACATCATAACAATGTGTTTTAGAGCAGCATAAGATGTTTTTTTTTACTAGAAATCTTAAATTGGGAAAGTATGCAGCGACCAAATCCGACAAAAACAAAACGTCAGGCACGCAGCTGCCAAACCACTCAATTAAAGTAAAAATATGTAAGCGTTTTGGGGCGAGAGACAAAAACAGACACCGTTAGCATCACAAAACAAGATGTTACATATAATTGTTAAATGTGAATTGTCTGTATTTTCAGCGTGATTTGGATCAAAAGAAAGCACAGGCCTTTGTCACCATCTGTGAAACAAATATCACACAAATAGGAAGACAATTTCATTCCTTGACAAAAAGCCCACTCAAAACTTCAGCAGCTCCATCTCATTAAATGGTTCCTTGAGCAGCAGATGGTGAGATAAAAACACAAGCACTTTCTAATATTAAACCAAAAATACAATTCAAATAAAGGAGGCAAAATGAGTCAAACAATTATTGAACATAACAGAAAATAGGAAATTATAGATTGACACAGTAGTAGTAAAAATAACCTCAAACAATACTGTTATATTGCTAAGCTCTGTGACAATTAGCAGTACAGGAGGTCCTGGACTTACATCAGAGTTCCATTCCTACGGTGTGATTGTTTTTCAGCTTAAGTTGGAACTTTATTTGCTTTGGAGCAAAACATGAAGTGCAAAAACAAAACACAGCGAATGTAACACAATCAAATATATGACGACGTATTTGTCCGCTCCACTCACCAACTAGTTTTAACGCTCCAAATGACAAAACAAGGCTTTCTTAATGAATATATGGGATATAGCAATGTAACCACGAAACACCATAGGTCGAGGACGTTGTAAACCGAGGAGCCCGTGTATTCCGTAATTAAAACAGTATGAACAGATGTGTAAAACAAGTGTAAAATAACGTAATGGAATGGAATGCTTTTTTAAAACCTGAAAAAGTAACAAGTGTAAAATAACATAATGAATGCTTTTTTAAAACCTGAAAAAGTAATTATAATAATGACTGAGAATAATTGTGATATTTTCTCATTTACATATTGATCCCCCCAACCCCTGCCCCCAATAGAGTGATAATGAAACAGGCAATCACAATATGTGTTTTAGTAACATTACCAATTATTATTCCATACTCACCACTGCAGGTTTGCCACAGTGGGCTGCACCTAGAAGTGCCAGGCTGTGGTAAAAATGGTACTTGTTGGCAGTTTCATAGAGCTGAAGAAGTAGATACAGACGGATTAGCAATTTCAGGTGCATTTAAATAATAATAATAAAAAAATCAGTTTTCATTTCAGTTCACAATTTCCAGAACTCTGGCAAGGTTTGAGTGTTTTTTTTCTCTCTAGTGTTTAAAGTGTATGAGATCTGCCAGTTACATTATGCCTTTTCACTCAGCAACACTTCTTTTGTCAAAAGAGATAGTTTTCAATCAAAATAAGACTTTTCTCAATTCTCCAAAAAGTAATATGAGGACTTTTTTCCAATTTTTAGTTTTCACATCTAAGTCAGACCTGCCTAAAATACTGTACATAACTCGATCTGGCTACAATGATAGGGATCATCAATAAGATTAACATAAAAATGTAATAAAACTGTATGGGCAACTAAAATGCAGCAATTGATGCCTTAGACACACGTTTGAAGTACATGTTGTGTTACTTATGTTTACCTACCACTCTCTGGTAATCATCGGGGTCACTGTTTTTGAATCCTAAAATGACAGAAATTCAGCAAAGTGCAGTTACCGTTGGGGTTTTATCATCTCATATAGTGTGATTGTGGGAATACAAAAATGTTGAGCAGAACAACGCTTAAATTGTAATCCGCTAAACATTAAACTTTTAACTGGATTTATTGCCTTATAGCCATTGCACCTATGTCAGTTACTGTATTTCTTTCACTGTAAAATTGTAGGAGATTAGTCATCTTGATTAGGAATTCGTTTGATTATCTTGCAGTATAATAGTATATTTTGTCAGCCGGATTGTTTAATTGTATACCCAGAATTAGTTGAACACGTTTAATGTAATTTGAGAATAATATGTAAGATTCTATAAAGTAACAACAGCAAAATTGGCACATTTTCGGATGGAGTCTGTACTTGAGAGCGCCGTCATGAATTCTTGTTAAACATTTTGCTAACACTCGTGCGCTCGAGCATCGAGGCGAGGCTAGAGTTTAACAGTTGCCTACCGTGAGCACCGTAAGCCCCAGCTGCCACCGCTGAAGCACCGGACAGCCCTGCTAATCTCCGGACGATGACAGAACCGCTCATGTTTGTTTCACCTTCGTCCGCTCATTGGGAGGAAGTCCCTAAAAGACTGTGGCTATGCTGCCTTCACATGCTTTGTAAAAACCTCCGTTTCCTGTGTTGTATTCACCAAAGTGAATAAGCATTATTGAAATGCCGTAGAACACTACACATTTTGTAATATATTACATTAAACAAATTTAAAAGAATCAGGGAATGTAAATGGGAAGGAATTACTACTTAAATACAGCACAAAACTAACCAACCCCCCTTATATAAATGTTTTAATTACGACACTACTGCGGGTTCGTGAAAGCAGCAGCGCCAGTACCCGAAGCGCTTACTATTTGAGCCAAAATGGCGACAGCCCTCACCAGTTTCAAAACTTGGGCAAAAGGTAACCTGGTCCCAATGAATACAATGTGGGACAAAGACTATGTTTAAGTGTGACAATGTAAAAAACGTTATAAGATGACAAAGTGGTAACATATTTTAATTTGACATTAGGGCATGGGTGGGCTTCAAATTTGACTGGTGGGCTGGTTCAGATATCAGATAGATAAACTCTATTAATCTTTTGGGAGTTGTTGATGATGTGATTATTGCACTATTGGTTGTATATAGAATGTAGTTTAAAAAAAGAAGCAGGAAATCACAAACTATTCTTGCCTACAACGTTCAAACCTCAACCAGTGCTTCTCAAAACGTGGGGCGGGCCCTACTAGTGGAGAATGGAGACATGATGGGTAGGACCCAAAAAAATGGGTAGGATAATTACAAATAAAGTTCGAGTGATGATGTAACAACTTCACTTTTATTTTCTAATTTTTAAAGGTTTTATTTGATGTTATTGATTTTGAGTCATTATAAAATGTGACATTACATTGTGTTAGTTCAATAAATTTGAAATGAAACAGCAAATATGTTTATATGCTATTTTTTCAGATTTGTAACTTTTATGTTAGCTATTCAACTACAAATTTGATCTTTAACTGTGCGGTAAAGAAATGTAATAATCTCTTTAGCAATGCATTTCATGGACCATAACCACTGTCTATTTTTACAATGTAGTGCGATTAGAAGTTACAAATTTAAAACCCCTTCTGTTTGCCTGTTAAAACAACAATCCAAAACATTGTTCTTGTTTTCGCTCTGTTTTGCTTACATTAATGCATTATGTATAAAGGGGCCGAGTTATGCTACTATGCCGTGTTTGCATGAATAATTAATATTCTTTAGTTTTGGTTTGTAAAGGTTGCCACATTATACTGAGTGATGGGCATGGTGGTGAAATTATCCAGTGCTGTTGTTTTGGAAACATGAGCTTGATTTCCTGATGGATTTTTGTGAGCTACATCTATTGTTTGATGTGGTTTCCAGCCAGCAAATCTATTGGTGATTAATTTTCTTACCCTTTGATTAAAACTGCTCTCATCTTAACAAAGAGCCCACCAAAAAGGGGTGCTGGATTGCTTCGTCATTGTCCACAATTTGCCCATACACTGTCTGTGTGTGTGTGTAGGAAGATGGCAGAGTGACTTTTTCCAATTATCATTTTGAAATTACACAGGGTCACACTACATTACTGCAGTATCGCCAATCCACAGTGTCTCACCCGAGCATTGTCCTTAACTGACTTTGACACTGCATGAAAGCAGTGCATGCAATTAACACCATTTAATGAAGATAAAGCTAATTAAAAACAAATGTGCTGAATGAGACGAGGCTTCATCATCAACTGTGAGCCTCTCTCCTGGTCCAGTGTTGCTGAGATCCAGTCAAATTTTATCTGCGTACACCTGTGACGTACACTGCCAGTTAGTGCTGCGATCCAGTCAAATTTCATCTGCGTACACCTGTGACGTACACTGCGCTGCTCCCTGCAGGTTTTTATTCTATACAATTTATACAATAAATATGAAAGCATGTGGCCTTACCAAACACGCACACACACACACATACTCTTGCAGGTCATTTTGAACCCGCCCCCTGGCAGATGGGACAGCAAGGACAACAGTAAAGTATGGCTTTACATCTTGTTTACACAGACAAGCTGCAAATTATATCTAAGTCCCAGCAGCTGTGTGCTGTGAGGTTCCTCCAGGAGCCAACATCCATCTCACTTCACTCGGCCCGCCTGCCTGTCCTCCCCTCTGCTCTCTGGTGACTTGCATTACTCGCCGCCAGACCTGAGTGTGTCTGAGCAATGGAGGTGAACATGTGTCACATCCCCTCAGATTGTTTGTCCTCACACATCCAGCTTGAAAGCATCAAAATTGGAACAAGCCTGTTACGCAAGGGTCTGTTGCGACTCTCTTTCGACTGGATGGTACAATAGCGATGCAAAAAGAAAAAAAAAACGTTTCACCCAAAATAATTCAAGAAACATTGTTTTCTTGTCATCATAAAACCTGTTAGGACAACTTACGATAATCTATATTTCTTATTTTAAGAAAGAGAACCAAAAAAAAAAACCAACATTGCCCTGGGTTGTTTTGAAAATCCACTTTGTTAGCCCTGCTAACCTGTATAGGCTTTTGTTTGCAAGGACATTTGGAATAAAAAGTCAAGAAAATTCAGAAGAGACCTTTACATCTCCTTTGAAATCAAAAGTTCTATTTGTTTATAACATAAAAACACTTTGGCAAGAACCAGACACTAAATGATGCTGTCTGGTAAGACAAAACTTTCAAAGTAATTCTGTCTTTTTTTTTTTAAATGTCAATTTACGGTTGGTTGGCAGAACTGGCAAATAATATATTTATATAAATATTATAATGGGTATCATTTGTCATCCACAAAACCTAATGGATTATTGTCAGGTTTTTTAATTAAAATTCTAAAATCAAATCCCATACAGCTGGAGAAGTGGTCGGAGAAGTTTCAACACATCTGCTCCAGCGTATCGTTTTAATACCCAGTCCTTCAGCTCCTCCATTTGCTTGTTTCATTTGAATCACAGATTAGACCACAGAGAGTCTTTCGGTCACCGTACATAAGTAGATCTACAACCACTAGGACTTAATGAGGATTTCGATGTGAGTGCCTTTTTTTTATGAATAAACTAGCAAACACTGTGTACTCTCTCTGTTTTACGAGGACCATAAACTGACGTTGTGCGCACACAGCATTTCTCTCATGTCCAATATCCTCTCATGAGTTATTCGACCTCGACGAGACTTCGTGCCGCTGTAGATGCTCTTGTTTTGTTTTACAGTGAAGTGCATGTCCTTATGATCACATACTGTCACTGATGGCTCCGTTCAGCTTACGTAGACCGGGTAAATGTGTGCCCGCACACCGAACCAGGAATGGTTCATTACTCGGATCATTCAAACCTCTGATCTTTCTATTAAACACACATTAAACACTGCAGAAGCCAAAAACCTTTGACACATGTGGTCTGCATCAAAGCTAATTAGAAGCTTTTAACCTGTTGTTCTGGAGCAATCATTTGCTTCCATCCAGCATGGTTCATTACCGGCCTGCATAACTGTGTGTGGGCACAGTGTGACCATTTATCTGAGTAGACTGCCACTAGATGCATTATATACAAAATACAGTGGAACCTTCGTATTCAAACCTAATTCATTCCTGAAGGACGTTCAAAAACTGAAACAATTTTTCCCATAGGACTCAATGTAAAATGGATGAATCTGTTCCTGGACCCTGGATGATTGCTTATTCAAACTTTTTCAACAGTATTTTTTTTTTTTACAAGTTCGTTCACAAAACCAATGGAAATAATTAGATCTAACAAAAAAGATAAACACAACTGAATAAAGAATAAAGCTATAAATAGGAAAGGCAATTTCATTCATCCTTACTGGAGCTGAGGAGTTGTGATTGCAAAATGTTCACTTTGTTTTGTCACTAATTATTGTCTCCTAAATATTGTCGCTGGCCAACTGTTTTTCGTTGATCCACATCAATAGCAACTTTTCCACTTCTTCTAATGTCTGAGATCTTTGCTTGGTGATCACAGTCACTCCTTTGACAACCTTAGCTTCTTTTATTGCTTCCTTGTTCTTAATGATGGCACAAATCAACGACCATGCTAGGCCATACTGTAAAGGCAGATCTGAAACACGAGCGTTGTTCTCATGCTTTCCTATAATCTCTCTTCACTTCTGTTGTTGTTCTCACTACTTTTCTTTCCCATTGTAATTTATGAAATAAAAGGACAGTGCAAGAAATACAGACAAAATCAGACAACAGTTATTAGCGTGTGTATCCCGATTGCAGACCGACACCAAACACTCTGTATTGTCTCTTGTTCAGGAACCAAGTTATGGTACAACAACCGGGGCAGTTTTTGGTTAAAAAATTTTGTTCATGAACTGAATTGTTGAAAAAGGGAGGCGTTGGACAACCGAGGTTCCACTGTAAGAAATTTGCACGTGGCCTTTAGACAAACAGGTCCCTCTTTGCACATGCATGAAAATTCTCCTAAAAGTATCTTCCATTTCAACTGCTGTGCAAGTTTCAGCTCCTCGTATATCAATTATAAATTATTATTCTTTTTCTTTCTGCTGTTCCTTTCAGGGGGCGCTACTGCAAATCATCTGCATCCATCTCACCCTATCTCCTGCCTCCTCCTCTCAATTCAATATGAAAATGTAGCATTTCCTGTAACCCACCAAAGATTTTTATGGTAAAAATATCTCCATGCCGCACCTTAGTCTGTTATTAAAAATTGTAAAGCTTTCGTACCTTTCTCAAATTGGCAAAACTTGCCTTCGCAAAAATTTTCAGAAAAAAAGTATTTTAAGTTATTTAGTATTGTACTTAAATCCTTGTGAAAAGGTAAGACTTTTAGATTTTTGACAACCAAAGTAATTTTATTGAAAATTGAATTGAAACTTCTATGTAAAAAGCAAATTTAGAGACTGATGCATATCACACAAAGATAAGTTTGATTTATATGCAGAAGTGGGAAAGTTGTTCATTTTCAATTACTCATGATTACTAGTGATTAATTACGATCACGGTTAATCACGATTAATAAATCCACAGGTCCCCTGTGAAAAACCAGATTAGAAATGTTCATCATCTGCCACCCCTTCTTTGACAGGATCAAACTTTTCTTTATTTT